AAGATGGCCATAGTTGCCTTGTGGTGCATACAAATGAAACCTGCCATTCGTCCTTCCATGACCAAAGTCTTGGAGATGCTTGAAAGTGAAATTGAGCTCCTTGAAATGCCTCCCAAGCCTGCTTTTGTTCCTTCCGAATTGCAAGCTCCAAATCATGGCAGTATAAGTCTAGCAACCGCGCCAACCAATTCGCTTGCTGCTAGATCATAATGCTCTACTCCAAATGCATTTCTAGGTAAATGTGCATTCATAGCTAGTGGCATTGAATTTTGTGTCATAATCCTGGATTGTTGCTTTTGTAGATTACCTACTCAATTTTCTTCCTGTAAAATATATCAAATTCCTCGTGCCATTTTTCTATTTGTGAACTGCAAACTATCGTTTGAATCAAACTAATCATTGCCAGAATTCCATTATCTTTTAGCAATAACATGTTGAGTAGTATTTTAGATAGATTGCCCTCCTGGTCCATCAACTTAGTAATCAATTTCATTTGGGTTCCTCTTGACTTTGTAACTTTCAGGAAATAAACACTGGTGTTCTCAATCCTTCGTTATGTAACGGTTTTGGTTTCTTTAATCTGGTTACTTTCCCATTTCCAAAAGTTGGAAGGCAAAAGGCATGTTAATTCTGGCAAGAACTCATTTTTAGCCCTTTTACCTTAGATTTGTAAGTTTTAGTTCTTTATTTTATATTATGATATTTATTTTATATTATGATATTTAGCCCTTTACTTATTAAAATTAAAAAAAATAATCCTCACTTATAACATTTTGTTAGTTCTATTAACTGATTATTAATTCTATTAGCTAATTGTTAACTAGCAAAAACTTATTTTCAGCTAATAAAGTTAACAATCAGTTAATAGAACTATTCTGTTAATTAACTGTTATGACTATTTGTCATAACTGAAAATTTTTAAATTAAAATTTTTATTAATATGTTTGGTTTTTACTTTCATTGTTATGTTTGCAAGCAAAGAGAAATTTTGAAAAAAAATGGGAGAAGGAAAAAGAAAGGACTCAATTGAAGAAATCAAAAGTTGGGGGATGAAATCCTTTAATCTATAAATCTAGCTCATTTCTCAAACCCATCTCAAATGGCCCAACTCCATAAAAATCAGCCCAAACCCAACCAAAACCCACTAAAACCCAAAACCGAAACCCAAATACCAAACCCATTTAACCCAAACAAACCCAAAAAAAAAAAAAACCATTTGATCAGATTAAAAAAAAAAAGAAAAAAAAAATTTAAAAGTCTTCGTTCTCTCTCTCCCTCCAGAACCTTTTTCCTCCCTCACACCCGAACCAGCCTTGCTCCTCCACGCTCACTGCACCTCTGTGCCCTTTGCTCACCGCGAGCCAACCCTGCACTTTACGCCCCTTTGCTCCTGTGACCGAGCCTTGCCTCCAGCACTCTGCGCCCTTGGCTCCTGTGCCCGGCCTTACTCTGCACTCTCCCCTCTGCATCCTGTGCCTTCTGCACCCAAGATCCCGTGCCTTCTGCGCCCAGATCCTGTGCAATCATACCCCTATTTCCGGTAATCATGCTCCCACACCCCCTGCTGCTGCACCGAACCAGCCTTTGCCGCCTGCGCCCCTGTACTGCTGCAACCGCCTGCACACTGCTGCGCCCCTATTCTGCAATCTGCTCTGCGCCTTGTCCTGTCCTTTAGCAAGATGCAACACACTTCAGACAAAAGAAAAAAGATCCCTACCCTTGCCTCACCTGTAGAAGAACAATGCACACCAGCTTAATTGGTTGTTTTGCGGGGCCAGTTTTGGCCTCATCTGATCAACGGTGGAAAGAAAAAGAAGAAAATTGAAGGGTTTGGATGAGGAGAGAAGAAGGGAGTTTAGGGTTTCGTTCGATTTTTGTATAAATAGGAAAGGATCGGTGAGTTTAAGGGGGTTTTATTCGAGTTGTTCCTTCTGGGTTTGCTCTTCTTCCTGTCACTAAAAAAAAAAAAGAGAGAAAAAAACAAGGGATCTTTCTTTTGGTCTGCATTTTTGGTGTTGCCAACGGTGGCAAAAGAAGAGTCCAATAAAAAAAAAAAAAAAAGAAGAGGGGAATCCGAGAGGAAGGTTGGTTGAAAGGAAGAGGGCATTTCTTTGGAGGTCGACCGTGGCTGAAAGGGAAGCTTATTTTTCTGTGTCTGTCTCCTGCTTAGGTAATTCCCTAAACAGACGAATTTTTGGGAAGGATGGTGAGGGAGACGAACGGAGCTTGATCCCGTGGGTGGGATCCCTCCTTCTGATCCAAATTTGTCTTTTCCCAAACAACTTTCGCCTTGTTTGTTTCAATTTTTCTTAGATTTCGATGTATTAAGACTGTATTTGATGATGATATTAAAAAAAAAAATCAAATATGTTCTGATTGAATTTCATGAATTTGAGTTGAAGTAGATGCTTGCTTATCTTTCTTTGTCTGTGCTGATGAATGGTTAAACAAGAACGTAAATCTCTTTTCCAGATCTCGTTTGTTCTTTTTTTTCTTGTCTGATGTTCTTTTGTTTTTTTTAGAAAGTGGTTTGTGTTTTTTTGGGCCCAGTAGATCCCACCCAATCCAAAAAATAAATAAATAAATAAAAACAAACCGTGAAAAATGGAAAAAAAAATATAGATAAAATGATTAATTAATTAAGATAATTAATTTAATTTATGATTAATAAAATTAATTAACTTTAATTAAAATAAATTAATCATGTTACTTAATTATCTTGATTAAAGATTAATGAATGTAATTAATTAATTTTAATTAATTTTAATTAATGTTAAATTAATCATTCAACTAAGTTAATTATCATAGTTAGTTAATTTAAACCTTTAATTTCCTTTAATCTTGCTCAAAGTCAAAATTATCTTTCTTTATTTCAAATTTCACTCAAAACTTTCATGATTAAGCAATTTAGTCCATGGGTCTTAACTCTTTTCAAATCAATCCTCCATGTTTTTGAATTTAATCAAATCAATCCATTTAATTTTTATTTGTGTTTATTGTGCATGCATGTTCTTGATTTTGTCCATTTCAGTCCAAAATTTTTAAAAATGTTGCAATTTGGTTTATCTCTTTTTTAAGCTTGTTTATTAAGACCCAAACATAAATATAATAAATAAGTTGAATTAAAACCTCAATGTTAAAGAATGCAACCGTGTTTAAACGGAAGATTGTGAGGTGCGCGTATGCCCTTCCTCACTCCTAACCAAACCCCCAAACCTCAATCCCTGCACAGACCTGTTTTTAGGTGACTTGTCCCAGCTTATAATTTGGATGAGTTATAATTTGGATGAGTGGCGACTCCCTCCTTTTTATATTTTTACACTTGATTTTTCATTATTTTGAAATCTTAAGTGGTCATCAACACTATTAACTCTATTAGCTAGTTATTAGCTAGCAAAAACTTACTTTCAGTTAACAGAGTTAACAATTAGTTAATAAAGTTAATAAAGTTAACAATTAATAAAGTTAATAAAATTAACAATTAATAAAGTTAACAGTTAATTAACAAAATTAATGAAATATTATAAAGTGAAGGATGTTTTCTTTAATTATAATAGATAAGAGGGTAAAAGTGTTATAATATAAGATAATGAACTAAAACCTACAAATCTAATAAAGTAAAAGGTTAAAAAGTAAGTTTTTATCCATTAATTCTTGTTGTATCTTGATTTTTGCTTTGCATTTTTTGATATTTTTATGGTTAAAATCTATTTTGGTTATTATACTTTAAGAAAAAGGTTTTTTTAATCCCTTTATTTAAAAAAGTTTCTTTTTATTTTTAAAGTTTAAAATATAATTTTTTTAGTTCCTCTATTACTTTTTATTAATGTCACATGTTCAAAAATTTTAAAGTAAAAGAGTTAAAAAGGATTAAAAAAAATTCTTTTTTTGATTCTTCTATTTAAATTTTTTTTTTTAATTTTTAAAAAAAATTCTATTATTTGTCCTTGTACTTTAAAATTTTTATTATTTAATGTTACATCAAATCAAATAGGATAATGGGAGGAGCCCCCCATCACATTGCTACAATTTTTTTCAATTTTCCACTTTTATCTTCCAGTTTTATCACTTTATTTCACAAGTCCAGAGTGGTTTTTTTGTCATTTGATACTGAATTTTCACTTTTGCCCTCACAACTTTGCTTCTCCATCTCACCTGTTATGGGGGTATTTCCGTCATTTCGTGACCTCTTCCCGTTGTGCCCTTCTATCTCCCTTTCTCCATTTGACATATGGGGTGGTTTTTGGGTCATTTCAACACACAAAAGCAGGTTGTTCTTTTTCGGTCCTGTGTTTTGCCAGTGCGATTTCCATTTTCGTGTTTAACTCAGTCTTTTGAGATTGGTCTTTGTTCGTCGATTTTGATTAAACAGGAAAATCGCCTTTTGGGTTTTGGCTAGATTTCGAGATCTGAGCACCTGAATGGCAATATTTCTTATGGTTTTGCATTCAGCTACCATTGTAAATTGTAAAATCATAGGGAGCGTTGTTTTTCTTTTGGTGCTCTTTGCTTGGTTTGTTCTAGCATTTGGAGTGGATTCTTATTTCTCACAGGTAAATATTTTTGGCTCTTTGTTTTGAATTGTTTCTATTGTGCAGATTTTGGGTGTCAAGAATTAAGTTTATTCTGGGCAGGCATTTACTGTTGATTTAGATAGGAATGGTGGGTTTACATCGACTGAAACTAATCAGGCAAAAAATACCGAGATTCCTTAGATTAGTCTCTGCGAAAGAAAATTTTTTCCTTCCTTTGTTTTTTTTTCCCTATATTTGGTTTCTTCTTTTCACAAAAACTCTTACATTTTATTTGGATCGATGAAGTTGAAGGGAAAGGAAAGGAGAGTGAGGGGTAAAGAGAGGAGAGTGAGGGGTAAAAGCCCCTCTTCTTGTTTGGAAAAAAAATATTTAATAGAAGGGAAGGAGATGAATGGGAGACGGAGCCCCCTCCCTCAATCCCTCTGTTTGGGAGGGGTTGAGACTCTATTATTTAATTTATTTTTGTTTTAAATTTTTTATAAAATCAATATATATAAATATTT